AAGTCAATTCCTAGTACATCAGTTATGTTCAGTGATGTCATTTATGCTGTATGTACAGCATCAAAGATGAACATTGAACAGTAGCTGCAGTTCCTTTTTGCTGTCTTCTTGAGCATTATGTTTCTTATAACAAGTTTGGAAGTAATCTAGATGATATATTTATTCAATTTTCCACTGCTTATTGCATAGATTTCATTGAACAGTTTTGAATTCTCAGAGTAGAGGGCAGCTTCTATATGAAAACGAAGCTTTTAAGTGCCAGAGACTAATTTTATTTCGAAAGGCAGTTATCTATCTTGAATGGTGATTTATCGTCAAGGATGTAGATATCCAGAGAAGTGAAAAACACTCAAATATATTAAGAGCATGTTAAAAAGCATAGATTTTTCGCCCTGGAATCCTTTGACAGCCCAGGATGTCCTGTAGGTTTATTTAAAGGTTAGTGGTTCAAGCCAATAAGCGAGGAGCTCTTCTCACTCAAGCTCAAGCATTTACTTTTACCAATGCCTTGGGACTAAAACTGTCTCGAACTTGGTTTCTCCCCCCTTGATTTTATATAATTGAAAATGGATTTACTTTGAATTGGTTTTTTATTTATCAGGGAACATGCTTGTAGTTGTCTTTGAATGGTGCTTCGAATCTTATCCCTCACAATGCTGTGAAATTGTTTTAAGCCATATGTTCTCGTATCAAGACAAGTATAACCCTTTAGACAATTAGATATACCATCAACTCAGGTCTTCAATTGTTGTCTGGAAAAGTCGAGTACATGACAAGTAGTGAAATGAATATTATGTACTTTTCAAACTTACAGTAAATCTTGTGAAGTTTTTAAAATTGAAACTCTACTTTTAAAACTTGGCCTCATTTAGTTCTGAAAATAAATAAAACTGACATTGATAAGCAACAGTTAAAACTTAAGCTGGCATCATGGTACGCTGCTTGTGGTGGACCATTGTAGTAAAATAATGGCATCAGCTTCTTCACATGTTTTTTAAATGGAAGGTCATATTCTAAATTGTACATCTACACTGTTTTAGGGAGGGGCTTCAGTAAGGAGGACTTTAAGACTACTGTTTGTGCACGAACCATAAGAAAAAAAAAAAATGATTATGACTTTTGGCAGTGTGTGTTTGATAGAGGGAAAGTTGCTTGTATTGGTTGCACGAGTTCCTTACAGACATTGGCATATAAACAACTTCTGGACATTAATCTGTGTTATTAGTGGTTTGATCAAAATCCTCAAGTTTATCTCATTTGAAGAACTCTCATGTTGGTTGCTTCACATCGATGCTTACTATTTTTTTTGGTTACGGGAGCAAACGTGTCATGACCCAAGCTGATGGCATGTATTGTTCGCTTTAAGCTTAGGCTCGCACGAATTTGTCTTTCAGGCTACGTCACATCAAGTCTCAAAAGTGCGCGTCATGTGATGACTTATAAAGCTCTTCACGTTTGTCTCTCATTCCTAAGATTCATCCAATATGACATGTGTACCCTTCTTCAAAAATTTGTTAGCAGAGACGCTTATCAATCCTGCTCAACTTGCCCTCATCCATCCACCCTTAGTCATGGACATCACAAAATGCTTTTTAAATAATAGCGCTTAGTTAGGCTTTCATTTTATTATTTTAATTTTTTTTTATTTTTTTTTGAAAACGAGGAAGAGCCTACTTGGAAGGTTGCAAAAAGTGCAGAAAACAATGTGTGCCAATTACAGTTGCAAATTAAGGAAGAAACAAAGGAAGAAGGCAGGCTTTGGTTGTTGAGTCACGAGTGAGTTTGGGGTAACGGGTCAACTGCACGTATCCGTTACGCTGTTTCTGCCTAAGATTCCAATACAAAATCTTAGTCCTTTATTACATTTCCTCAAACCCCAATATAAATACACACTTTCACACAAACAAAAGTACCAATTATTATATTATACTACTCCATCCGTTCCAAAATAAGTAATTTCTTGATTTTTTTTTGTGGTCCAAAATAAGTTATTTTTTCAGATTTTAAGAATAAATTAATTATTTTTTCCCTACATTGCCTTCATAGTAAATAATGTTGGAGTATGTGTTAGGAGTGTTTATGTGAAGAGATAGTAAAGGTTAATATGATCAATTTCATTGTTAATTAATGTTAAAAGGTGAATTTTTTAATCTGTGTAAAAACAGCTAAAAATCACTTATTTTGGACCGGGGATTACAATGTTTGGTATCTTCATCTCGACTTTTACTCCAAATTTATCGGTTCAACTTTTCTTCTCTTTATTTTTTCCAAAAAAACTTTTGATTACATTGGGCATTAGGGAGGAGGAAAAGGAATGATAAGATTCGAACCACTATTGTTTGAGTGACTTGTAGTCATAACATTAGGCAATAAGCCTTGGCCGTTCTTTTCTATTTCGAACTCGTTTCCATTTATTTGACCACACTTTTCTTTTATAAGGAAAAGATTAATACTTTCTCCATCCAAATTGACTTGTCCACTATATTGAATGTAGTTATTCGCTTTTATTTGTTCAGTTTGAAAAACTAATGAATAATTTACCATATGCTTATTTTACCTTTATCATTTTCCAACATTTTAAATTTAAAATAGTCAAAGTTAATTAGTTTTTCAACAATAGTAATAATTAGGGATGATAAAGAAAAATTAACATGTTATTTATTATTTTTGAAGGGGTGTACCAAGTCAATAGTGGATAAGTAAACTTGAACGGAGGGAATAATAGTTATTTGACCACGCTTTTAAAATGGCAAAAGCTTATATCTTCAATATAATTCAAAGTATGATTGGGAAAGAAACAATTCAAGTTCGAAGAAACATTTTGACATTGGATAGCTCTTTCTAGTTCATTCAATTAAATAGCTATATGTTGTCATATCTATCTGAATTAATTAATTCTAGTACAATAACTATAGGTGCACACATTTTCTTGTTTAATCAACAAGAAAAAAGAAAATGTGAATGTATAGAGTTGTTGATTAAGGGGTTTGAAGGTAAGGTAGTGTAAATGTAGTGTTACGCACACATCCAATCTATCATAAATGGTTTCCCTCTCGATAGGATAGATGTCTTTCAGTTTTCTTTTCCTTTTTCCCTTCCCTTTCTTTTCTGTCTATCTATCTGTCAACTTAATAAAGAAAAAAAATGGACTAAAATATTCCAAAAGAAATGAAAAGAAACAAGTCAGTGAGTCACGTGAATCGATGCACTACTACCGTCATCCATCCATACAAACTACCGTCATCCATCCATACAACAGACACTTTTAAAAATAAAAAAAATTACTCTCATACACCAAAATTATGTAGTACTCTGATTATATTAGATGACTTGTTACAATAAATATCCATATGATATATTTATAGGTTTAATGTCGAACTTCGCATGAATAAGCCTTCTGAGATTGAGTTCTACATGCTATACGTATAAAAGATATTCTATGCTATAACATTACTTAAAAGATATTGTTAATAATAAATAAAATTAACCATGAGAAAAGTAAGATAAACAACGTGTTACAACAGAGGCGGATCTAGAATTTTTATAACATGGGTGCACCACTAAAAAAAGGAGAAAAAAAAAGTATTAAGTGAGATTTGATCCCTAGTCCTCTAGGTAAATAAATCATCATTCAACCAAGTGCACCATTTAGCTTTTTTGAAGCATGGGTGCCAACAGAGAATACTAGACCAATTCCAAAAAAATTACATAAAATACCTAGCTTGACGGAAAAACCATGAGTTCACGTGCCCGTCAATTTGCCTACAAATCTGCCCAGTGCTACAAAGTGTAAATACAATAGTCGCGTACTAAACTTTACATTGTAAATATGCAAGTTAAATCACACATATATGATGAAAGGTAAGAATTTACGTGCCCACAATTTATATTAACCTAACAAATACATAATACATGTCTGTACATATATTATTAAATCATAAGTAATTAGTACATATTTTATCTTAATTTATTATTTACTCATGATAGATTTGTATAATTTCGTGTATATATGAAATTCTTACTTTAATATGATAGGAGTATAAGTATTAATTATATAGCGCCCGTGTTTGTCGCGTGCACTCAACGCTGGCTGAAACATCTTTAGCAGTCTGACCATAATACAATGCACAAAGCAGTGATGCACTACTACTACAGTTTTACTGCAGTTTGCTTAGGGTTTTGTCAGTAGTCAAACAAACTCTCATTTCTCTCTTCCTTTTTGGGAATTGCTTCAGTCTTCAGTCTTCAGTCTTCTCTCTTTTTTGTTTTTCAAGCTTGCATTTGTTTATGTTTGTTATACACTTCTCTCCTCATTACATGCATTCTTCTCTATGCATGCCTGTCTCCATAGATTTGTTTTTTTTTTTACATTCTCTATATTTGAACCAATAATTTTCTACACCCAGCTGTGACATTATATTGTTTCTAGTCA